AAACCTCCAGCAGAACCAGGCTCAGTGTCAACGTTCCCTATTCCCAGTTTGGGAGGCGTTCTGTCCAAAAGGAGGGCAGCGAGTTAGTGAAACATAGAACTTATTGACCTGATCAGTCATAACATTATGACCACTGCATTGGTGAACCGAGGTAATGGTCTGTCGACACCAGACTGGACTGTTTGTGCATCAGGTGTTGAAGAGGACTGAAGTTATTCACTCTTAAAAACATTCAGAGGAGTGTAAAAGCAAACAGATGTCAGGTTGTCTGGTTCTATGACTATGAACTTCTCCTCCACCAGAACCAGCTTTAGTTCTGTTGGTCTCATTGGTCTACGTTCTGGAGCAGTTTGACCTCCTGTTTCTTTACTGCAGAAGTTTCAATGGAGCCAAATCTTTCACTATTCGTGGTCCTGAATGAGCCATCTAGATTACAGATATGGGGTTGCAGCGTCTCTGTCCGTGGTCCTGAAACGCCCTCCTTCTACAGGACGTTTGGCACTGGCTGTCTTTCTCTGTCCGTGGTCCTGAAACGCCCCTCCTTCTACAGCACGTTTGGCACTGGCTGTCTTTCTCTGTCCGTGGTCCTGAAACTAGCAGCTTCCCCATTCCACACCATGATAGTATTCCAGGAAGAATCAGCCTGTTTAATTGATTATTATTTTCAAATATTATAATTATTATTTAATTGGTTTAATATGTAGTATTTTCACCCGTCCTGCTGTGGAATTTTAGGTACGCCTCATAATTGACAAAGAATCCTTAAGCATCCAGCATCAGTGCAGGGAGGCCACCTTGATCTTACAGCTGGTACCAAGCAGGAGACACCCAAACATAACAGGCAGGAACCAGAACCTTCTGAGCCTGGTCCAATCCCTGAACCCCCAAAGCCAGCAGAACACTGTGGGTCTTAGAGAATTTGGACGTACTTACCGTAGTACTCACTTTTAAGGCAGTAAACCGGACAGCTTTTTGCTGCCCTCACAGATGTTGAGTTTTTCTCCTAAAGGAGCCTCCCTCTGATGTGTTTACTTTTTTCTCTCTGTGTTTTTCTCCTGCAGTGGTGCTGCTGAACTCCAAGGAGACACAGGCAGAGCTCGGCTGGACCTCTTATCCCCCCAACGGAGTAAGTCTGCTTGTAGTTGTTCATTCTTCCGTCTCACACTCTGCAGGCTCCACTTCACAGCTGATCCTCGCCTCCCCTCACAGCTTATCGTCTCCATTAATCAATGGCTGTAATCTGGGCCGGTGTACGGCAGGTCCAAACAGCCACACGGCCGCTGCTGCAGATAAATGTTCCCCTTCGTGTCGATCGATATCATTTGTGATAAGTTATGGCTGCAAGACAAATGGGCTTTTTTTAAAGAATGGCCCTCTGCCATCACAGTTTGTCACACGCTTCCCACCTGACCTCAGCCTGCACACACACCTTGGATGTGGAATAAATGAACAGCACGCAGAGGCGCCGTTTGGGCCAACAAATGCATTCCAGGTGGTGTGGGTTGATTATATTGCTGTCAGCTGCAGGTTCACCTTCCAGCTGCTGTGGTTCCTCAACGCATTGGAGTGGAGTTTATTACCTCATGATCTCTGATCATCAGTCCTCACTGGCAGCTGCTTCATGAGAAATCCTCATGAAGCCGTTCTTCTTCTGAGCTTCAGTCGTTCAGGTCGTTTCACTGATGAATAAACTCCTTTCTAGGTTCTGTTTTTTGGTCACATACAGATGATTTAAGATGAAATGTTTTTAACAAAACTTTGATATTTTAGATGTTCACATAGCTGCTTATGAAAACAATGAATCTCAAAGAACAACAGAAATATTATTCTTTTTGGATTTCTTACTGAGGAATAAGTTTTAAAAAGTTTAAAGCCTGTATCAGATGGATCTCCTCTCCGTTTGTTTTCTGTTTGCTGAAATAAGGAGCAGATCAATGTTTGAGTCCGAGCTGACAGTAAAGGTGTCTTTGGTGTCTCTAAGGCCGTGTTTAACAATTTCCTTCCCACTGTTGTCTTCATCTCTCAGTGGGAGGAGATCAGCGGCGTGGACGAGAAGTACAAACCCATCCGGACCTACCAGGTGTGCAATGTGATGGAGCCCACCCAGCAGAACAACTGGCTGCAGACGGGCTGGGTGACCCGCCGAGGAGGACAGCGCATTTTTGTGGAGCTTCAGTTCACACTGCGTGACTGTAACAGCATCCCCGGCGTGGCCGGGACCTGCAAGGAGACCTTCAATCTTCTGTACGTGGAGTCGGACCGGGACCTGGATGGGGTGACACGGGAGGACCGCTACACCAAGATCGATACCATCGCTGCAGATGAGAGCTTCACTCAGGGCGACCTAGGAGAGAGGAAGATGAAGCTGAACACTGAGGTGCGAGAGATCGGCCACCTGAACAGGAAGGGCTTCCATCTGGCCTTCCAGGATGTCGGCGCCTGCGTCGCTCTGGTGGCCGTGCGTGTTTACTACAAACGCTGCCTGGCAACCGTCCAGAACCTGGCCGTGTTCCCCGACACGGTGGCCGAGGCGGCCTTCGCCACTCTGGTGGAGGTCCGCGGCGCCTGTGTCAACAACTCTGAGTTGGACACGGACAGCCCTCCCAGGATGCACTGCAGCGCTGAGGGCGAGTGGCTGGTGCCCATCGGGAAGTGCAGCTGCAGCGCGGGCTACGAGGAGGGACACAGCAGCTGTGAAGGTAGGATGAAGCTCCACAGGAAGCAGAGCTTTGGTTTGTGCAGCTTCCGTCTTCTTGCTTTCATCTTTTAGCGATGCTTCAATAACTGAGCAGATTTAGGAAGGGGACCCAGAGGAACCGGTTCAGGTAGAACTTCTCTGCTTCTGGCTGGGTCCGGCAGCTCAGCCTGGTGGTTTTTCTCCTGTGGTGAACATGAGGGGTGCTTTGTGCTGCGTGTGTCATGCTAACGGTGTGTGTGGTTTCACACGGTGATTCAGTCCTCAGACGTGCCCAGAACGTTGGAGGCGTCAAACGCCTCAACATTCAGGCGCTGAGCAACGCTGATGTAAAACTTAACTTTGAGGCTTTTCTTTGGGAGCTCCACCGCCTGCAGGATGGGGGCTGGAGTTACTAGATAGCAAACTGGGACCACTGGGATGGGGCACCTGAAATCTGCTAGTCTCTGAACTAGCGACAGCCTCAGCAGCTCTGTTATGCTATCATTAAAACCTTCCTTTTACCTCATGATTCTGGACAAGCTGCAGAATTATAGTTGCTGAGTTTGTAACATCTGCTGCTTCATCATCCTCAGTTATCTCCTTTTTAATGTGGTCAGTGGGAACGCTTCCAACTTCCTCAGTCATTGGGATCTACATGGAAAGACCATAGAAAACAGTGGCTGAATTTAAATGGGTGGATGACTGTGTGTTAGAGTTATGATTATAAAATTATGCTACATTTGTGTGCTCTGAATCAATCAAGAGGGTCGTAGACTTTTGTGACCTGCATCCTGCTATCCTGTGATTCAATCATTGGGTCATGAGGCAAAGTCACACGGTTGCATCCTGCTGTGATTCAATCAAGAGGAGCATTTTGTCCTATGACCCAATCAATTGCCTTGTCAGAAGAACCCTGTTCTGTAACCCAACCCATGTGTTATGATCTGCTAATAAAAGGCTTCTGCTGAGGAGAGTGAGAGAGAGACAGTTTCTTTATCATAAACCTACAATTTTGAACGTAACACTGTGGATCATATCTTCCACGTCATGTGGGGAGTTCCTTCCTTCCTTGTTGTCCTGGAAAAATACAGCATGA